GGCACTCAAATTTGTATATTCCCGTTTGATGGGATAGATTAAAGAAAAAAAGCTTTGCTTGATCTAATTAAATATGGTAATCAGCAAGATGCAATTGTAACATATACGATCCGTTCTATATTTTTACTGTAACGGGAACGAGTTTCTTTTTCACACATGGAACTTGCAACGGGAATGCGTTCCAAAAATAAGAAGAAACAAAAAAACAACCTTTTGTTCCTTCTTCCTTTTTTTTTTTTTTTTGAGGAACGTGCACAACACTGGATGGACGGAATGAGATGCGTTGGCAGCCAGATGAAAGTGTCGGTTTTCACCAATTAATCAGTTAAAAAATTGCACGAAAATTGATGCGTTAATTCTTTAATCGATAGATTAATCTACTAATATCAAATTCTAAGTCCAAACACGCGCTCAGCGTCGTACGGAACACAAAGTTTTCTGATTTTATCGTAAACAACATCGTCGGCTCTAGCTGGGCTCTTTAGCCGCTTGTTCTTTTTTCCTTTTTTTTTTTTTTTTTTGCACGGGTAAGTTAAGCTATTATATATGCTATGTACCCTTCTTTATAATACAAAGTCGGCTTTTCATTATGTGAACTTGCTTAAAAAATAAATATAAACGGGCGAGTTTTAATTAACGGCCGTCCAAGGGACGGACAACTTGCTTCGCCGCACTCCACGCGTGCGTAGGAAAAAGCGCCCTTTAGAAACAAAAACCCAGCAGTAAACGAAGGCAAAACAACGTCGCTACTTTCATAAGTAGCGCTATTCTTAGCACACGCACTTCTCATAAAAAAAAAAATGTATTTTTGAGAAAAGGCATATAAAATGATGCATACCTGTGTTTCCTATATGTAAACTTACTTTTATAAGCGTGTGGGGTCGTATCTAGCGGTACACGTGCCTGACTGACACTCGTAGTCGACTGTAAACAGTAATAATGTAAACAAAACAAAAACAAAAAAATTACGCGGTGTCCTTTATACATAGGCGTGCGTAATACTGCGTGATATCTTTTATAATTTTCTATAAAATTTAGAAATTTCTAACGATCCCCGTATGTGGCGGTGTGTGTTGCGTAGTGAAAGTAAAACCTGTTTAACCTAACGGTTACAATTAAAAAAAAAATCGCAGTACAACAATTTTGAGTTGCCATTTTATAAGTAAAATTTGCATAGATCGGTGCTGCTCATTAAAAAATATTGAGGGCAGATTTAAAGTAGAAAAAAAAGATGAGGACCTTGAGTTTATGGCATTGGTAGCAACTGTCATTTCAATTGTCCCGTTTCACAGCCTGACAATAACAAATAAAAACGACATTGACCGAATGTTGGACTGCCAACTTCTCAGCGCGTTTATACACAAACAAACACAACTGCTTATTAATCTCTACAAAAATCAAAACTGCTCAGACCCCAAAGATCGTTGGAAAAGTTTGGTGCTCAGAAACTGGGCTCCATTAGCAAAACACAATCGTGAGCGACATGCCAAGATACAGATAAAATTAGCGTTTGCTCCACCACAAATGCAAGCACTAGGTCGCATACACAGACAAAGGATCAAACACAGGTACGCACATATCACAAACGCGCACACGCACGTACACACATACACAGCATTATTGCAGATATGTTCACCCACACGAGGCTCACCAAGCATGCACATACGCAAACGCCCGCACACACACACACACACACAAATGGAGAGAGAAAAAGGGAGAGAGAGAGAGAAAGAAACAAATATTGAAGGAAGGAAAAATTGTCGAAGAGGCGGACGTGGCGGGGAGCCCGGCCGTTTCGACTTGTCTCCACGGGATGGCGCAGACAGGCCGCGGAATTTCTATTTCGTCTTAGAGTAGTTTCGAACCGTGTCTAAAAGGCGGCGCTAGCTACTTCCCAAATCGTACGACGGCATGAAATAGCATTCCGCAGTACGCAGTAGGCGGTGAATGCGGTTCTAATCGATACTTGCGAGTGATTAAGGGGAATCGTTGTACGAATGTCTCGGTATGTGCGTCGTGAGCTGCAGTTAACTGTAAACATAAATGTAGGTTGTTTTCCTTTTTCTCAAACATTTTAGCTATGAATCTCAAATGTTTGAGCTACGAAACATCTTTTTACTCTTTCCTCTCGCTCTCTCTCTCTTTTTCTTTCTCTCTCCCGCTCTCTAGTTCTCTCACTCTTTGTTTATTCAAATTATTGCACGCAATTTGTAGTTTGGAATTACACAACTGAAATTACATCGCAACAAGGAAAATTTACTCAAGTTCGCAAATACTTGCGAACAAAAATTATTATTTGCACTTTCGCTGATAACGATTCTTTTTTTTTTTTTTAATTTTCTCGGGGTTTTGTTATTTTTAGTTTTGAGTAAACCTCCGTAAACAATCCAATAAAATTTACTTCTGCCCTTTAATTGTCTCTAAAGCCTTATAATACATCAAATGCGGTAGTTAACTATCGTTTAAAATTCTTTAACAGACATTACACCGTCGTTTTAAGAAGTAACAAAAAATTACATGCTGTTTCGCACATTGAGCAAGAAAACTGACTGCATAGGTCACGTGGCGTCAATTTCTCCGCTAAATGTGAATTTCCCCGCTAAAAACTGAAGGTGCTTAGGTCACGTGATGTCAAGTTTTCGCTCAATTTAGGGCTGAAACACTGTGAATTTTCTTGCTGCTACCCGTCTCGGGAAATGACGCAACGCATTGGTTCAACAACACGCAGACATTTAATTTTAATGACCGTTATCGCCGGCGCCGCGATCGTAGTGAAAGTCCCCGCTCATACGCCGCGACGCCCCTTTATCGGCGGCAGAGCGCCGCTCGCGTGGCCAGTTGCCCTTGGCCCCCCTCGCGGTAGAAATAACTACTGACCATTTGGCATATGGGCAACCTGGGCCAACCCTTTGAATCCCCAGGTTGCCCACACATCTCCCCCCTTCAAAAAAACAAAACAGGGGACGTCTCAGAAGGTCTTGGGGGGCCTTCCTTCTGGTCAGCAAGGGTCTTCGCAGATGGGCGAGCGCGGGTCCGACGTCGGTACTTCCGTACGGTACCGATGCGGCTACGATGGGTCTGATGATGGGAGCTGCGTCGCCGCCGCTACGTGTCTGGCACGAGGAACTAGAAATGGAAAACAACATGAGGCCATGGCGCGGCAAGAATAAGCGGCCACGCACAGTAACGACGCATGCCGAACTGCGCATACGGGAGCACAACTACTTTCTCTCCTCTCTCCCCCACCCCCACCCCCCCAATGAGAACTAATTCTAATAACTGGAAAAGTTAATAGCTTATTTTTGTACTATATTAACTGAAATAACGAATCAGTGCTGCCCTCAATTCATTTCTCAGCCATCACCATCCAATTTGAAGCCAACTGGGCAGCCTGTCGCGCATGCCCATAGCAGTCGAACCTGAGTCGAACCTTTGTCGAACTTTTCACAAGAAGTTCGAAAAAATCAAACCTTGTCGACCTCGAACCTCGAGCGGTTCGAGACACCCCGAGGTAAAGGTTCGAAGGTTCGACGAACCGCTTCGACCCAGCCAAACCCTGAAAGTTCGATCTAACAACCCGGTTCGACAAAAGTCGCGACACCCCTAGAATGTTCCTGGAGTTCCGAAGGTTTCGAAACTAGTGATCTCTATTGTAGTAGGCTGGATCGCGGATCGCGAGCCCGCCGGTGGCACCACTGGCGGCCATTACTTGACACCAGGCGATGCAGGCAAGTCTAGAGGGGAAACACACAAATGTTGGAATATTGAAGCTTGTATCCTGCGGCTGAAGGCAAGTATATTATGATGTGATGCGATCATTATATCGGGTGTTTGGAGGTCGAATCGGATTTCGTCAAGCGTTCGAATGCCAATTAAAAAATTAAAACGTGCCGGAACACCTACGGCTGAGCTGGCAAACTTGCTCTCATAGTGAAGTAAACAAAGGAACTTGCCGTCAATAAGACCGTCCTAGAGGAAGTCCAGAAGTTGATGAATGTCGAAAAAGTTCCATGTTGACAGCGGCTTTCCGGGGATGAGCGCATTCCGCGTAGCAAAGCCCTCAAGCCTGTGGTCTGCTAAACCCAACATGTCGAAACCGCCACCGACTCTGCGGTAACTCTAGGTAACTCTCGTCTCATTCTGCTGCACTACATTTCACGCCCAGAGGAGTCACTCTCAACCACGAAACATTTCTTTATGAGAACTCTGAGGGTCGTTAATTTTAATGTTTGTACACATGTTATTTGACAGGCTTCCTGAAAAGCAGCCAAAAAGTTTCAGTGCCTACAACAGCTTAGAAACGGGGGAAACTGCACCTTTTCTCGTTTTTTTCCACAGAGTCCCATTCATTTTGTGGTGTCGGTAGTGTCAATCAATGGCCGCCGATGGCGCCACTCGGCCCCAGCTGCCGAGGCCGCGGTCCGCGATCCAGCTTACTGCAATAGAGATCCGTGACCGAAACTCCCAGGCTCGAAGTGCTAAGATGGCGGCTCAATCCTTTCCTTTACTGGGGTCCCCATGAGCTTTTAAAAAGCATGTTCGTGCCTAAAAACAAACGGAAAAAACTCTATTTGTAGAAACTTTTATTGGAGACTAGTACAAAATAACAGGCTCGTGTGTTTTCTAAAATCTTTAGTTTACAAGTTTTTGCGGCACTATCTTCTCCTTTTTATCTCTTTTTTTTTTTTTTTTTTTTTTTTGATTGCATGCCTGGAATGTTCCGGATGTCTCGAAAATTTTGTTGTTTGTTCGAGCTCGGAAACTTCTCCACGCGCTTACAAGCTTCGCATGGCTGCTTGAGTCAGTCGTCCTTCCATCGCCGTCAAAATGTGTGCGGTCTTTGTCTTTGTTCTAGGCACAAGTTCGCCGCATTAAACGTTTGTTTAATGTTTGGTTCGTTTCAAGTTTTATTATAGGGGTTGCGTTTTTATTCGTGACATTTTGGTGGCGGTGCGGGGTAACGCAATCTATGACCATGATGCGTACCACCTGTGAACACGATGACTCCGAAGACGACGACCATGGAGGGGACGTCCCCGAAAACATCCGATGTTCACTCCAACTGTGACTTCAACGACGACCTCAACTATGGTCTCAAATACGACCCGGGGTACGAACTCGATGAATCCCCGGGCTTTATCGGGGCCTCGACGATAATATAATAACTTCATTGACGACGACACTGACGATTAAAATGGGCAACGACTCCAAAGACAAACCCTGGCTACGACGTCAACAACCAACCCAATTGCGCCCTCGACGGCAAGCAGTGTCTTCGACCTTGTCGACGAGACTGACGACGACAATGACGATGACACAGGCGACGACTCGAACGACGACATCGACGACGATCCCGACTATGACTTTGACGCTAACCCTGACCACGACTACAACGGCGACCCCCCTACAACTTTGGTGACGACCTTGATGACGAACCCGATGACGAACACGATGACGACACCGACGTTGAGTGTGATGTCGACAACGAAGACGAACAGGACGACGACGCTCGGTTCGTCTCTCAATGAGCGGAGGAAGTCCGCCACATCGGCCTCATTTTTATTCAAGCCGCACAACAAAATGGACGGTACAAACTTTGTCGCCACGACGCCCAGTTCGCAGCCCGGCTACCAAGTGTGGATCTCAACTCCAATTAATCGCCGCAGCGAGAAACTGTTAAAAAGGTGTTTCGGCCTCAAAGTTACTCGAACTGAACTATGCTGATAGGACTGTAAAAATCTGTGTTTCAGGTGACTTTGTAGTTTGCCCCAGCCTTATTTTGAGTTGTCCATTTCATTTTGTGGTGCAATTTTTAAGAGGGGAGTAATGCCGCGTGCAAATATCTGAGTCAGCAGCGTGCTCGACTCCCACGCCGCTGGCTGGGGATCGATCCCCACCAGCACTTGTCCTTTGTATCTCTCTTTTGTTTGCATGGCTGGAATGTTCCAGATGACCCGAGAATGTTGCTGTTTGTTCGAGCTCGAAAACTTTTAGGTACCCACGCGCTTACAAAAGGAGCTTCGCATGGCTGCTTGAGTCAGTCGTCTATCCAACGCCGTCAAAGTATGTGCGGTCTTTGTTAGTTTATGTTTCTCGGCACAAGTTCGCAGCATTAAACATTAATTTTAAGTTTTATTTATTAGGTGTTTTTATTCGAGACAATATTGCGAAATAGTTTCCACAGGCCCGTGTTGCTCTAGAAGCCTGCATTCAGAAGTCTTGACTAATGACCATTTCGACAGAAAGTAATTTGTTTCTTGCGTTCCTCGGACGAGGCTGTCATGCCCCCAGTTTCTTGGATGTGCTCGACAAGACCCATAAACCACGCCTATCGCCATTTTGATTTCAGTGATCTTGCGCACTGATTTCTATGACAATGTGCTGCATAGCGCATCCCCCCTTGATCGCTGCAGCGCAAGTGCATGCAGCTAGCGGACGGCGATGTTGCAACGCAGAAAGTCGACCTTTGGGAGCGTAGCAGAGGCTGGGCGACAGCGTGGTGAAGACACGTTTTCTGCTCGTTTGTCGTCATTCGCCGAAGAATTTTTTTTAAAACCTTATGTAGATGGTGAGCATTGCCTCTGAGAACACGTTGACAGTTTTACGAAAGTTCAACATCGCAGGAAAAAGCCGCAACTATAGCGAACGTAAGTGTCGCCGGTCTCGCGGCGTGCTCGAAGCTTCCTTGTCACGCCGAAGTGCCGCGTGTTAATGCCTTTGGTTATCGGCTGAGATTACTCTGATATTTCCATCGATGAAAGCAGAATTAGCCACACTAAGGACATCAATTCGAGCGTTTGTTGAATTCTTTGCTCCTCCTGTCTTTTTTACTGCGGCCAAACTATCTATTGTTATTGTGGCAAAGTATCTGCCTATCCCGTATAAACAAGGTTATGGCCGCGGATTGACAGGACGTATATTTTTGCCCGCTAAAGTTTGTACGAGGCAACTGTTTCGGAAGTTGCGCTCAATACGGATCGCACTGACGACAAATTTTCAAAATTCTTGTTTTTCAGTTATACTTCATTTGACGAATATGTTTGTCACCAAAAATGCCGAGGCATTAATATACGAGATACTTATTAGCACCTGCGTAACTCCGAAAATAATTTGGATTTCCTTTCGTTCACCCTTTCCACCCATGGTGTTAGCTATTTCATCGATGAAAAATAAAGAAAAAAAAAGTGGGCCAAAATAACTTGTATTTTCGACGGCTTTCTTTTTTAACTTATTGTATCGTTTAAACAAAAAGAAGAAACCTGGAGACATTATTTTAAAATTTTAATAAGTTTCAGGCTGCAGAATGGACAATGTCGAAGAGGGAAAAAATGATGACTAATTTTATTTGCTGTTTGTTTCAGACAGCTCATGAAGCACGTGGCACAAGTTACTTCACACAGGAGGCAGACACCGCACGAAATAAGCGAATTTTCGTAACGCTTCAACTAGCACTTATTTACGCAACACTGAAAGCAAATGTAACACTGTACACACACAAACACGATGACAAACGCCGTTAAGTGCAGTTTAGCTTACATCACCAAAACACCTTCTTATCTTACACCTCCAAAGCAATAAAAAACGCTTTTCTTCTCTTTCTCTTTTTTTTTTTTTAGTTCGCCGGCAGTTTGCGTTACCGCAATTGTGGGTCGACCCCAGATGCATCCTTCTGTAACACTGAACGCGTTCAGACTCCTCTTGGGTTTTCTTTCTTTGTTTTATACGCCTTTCTGCGTAATGTTCCCCGGGCAAGTGCAACTGAGGCCTTAGTTAGGGCAAGGCCAGGACTCTTATCAGTTTGCTTATTGCTGCACGCCGGCCTCCACCACCAAGGCGCAGCGCGCATTCGGAAAACCACACTTCGGGACCGTACATGTTTACATATTCAATTTTGCTTTCTTGGTGGATTTCTGTGCGTGTGTGCGTGCTCGTTCATGTGCGTGTGCGAGAATGGACTTTACAATTATTTCCTATATAGCACGACGTCTTTAAACAATTCCTAGCTCCTTAACTTCGGCGTTAATTGTCTGAAAGCATTTTAAATCGAAGATATATGAGTATCAACAATACGAATTCATTGTCGCCCCATATTTGGCTCTTCAATTGGCATTATGAATTTAAAGAAAAATCTACCCTTCTATTAAGATTTTTTTTTCTGCTTTCTGCTAGAGAGAAATAGAAATAGCCTTGAAAGAGAAAGGCTTTTAGGAAAAAAACGAAGTGGTTTGCCGGCTACACGGCATGATAATGGTCGCGATATAAATTATTTAAAATTTAAGACGGCTGGCCTTCAACTTAAAACTGCTGTTCTTGCTTCTGTTATAAAGTCCCTCTTTAAAGCCGCTTATTCACGCAGCTCTTGTCATAAGTCCAGTGGGGCTAGTCGAAATGCTCCACTGGAAGTTAGCTGCTATTTTCAGGAAAGATATGTTCCTTATGTAGTGGAGCTGGGACGGCATACTATTGAAGGAATGCCTTCGCTCGTTGTCATATTTAATGCAAGTCGACGAGACGTATTCTCATGTCTTCCCCGCGCTCCGCTGTTCTGGCTGTTAATGTCACCGGTCCGTTTAAGTCTGTGCGGGGTTAACTTTGTGTTAACTAAATTGGCTGTCGGTCACTGGAGTAGAGACGTTTGTTTGCTTGGAAGTTTTAGAGAAATCGCGGGTGGGTGGTGGCCTTCTCCAACACGCGGGTGAGGGTGGCGATGCAACGACTGGTCGGAGGTTTTTCGATGCAACCACTGGTCGGAGGTTTTTCGTATATTCTGGTGTTTAGTTACATCTTCGGGGAAAACGAATGTCACATTTAGATTCACGGGATAAAAATGCTCTATAATTTACCTCTGACTTGTATTTTTTTTCAAGAAGTGGTTTAGTTTTTTTATAAGTTTGCTTAGTCAACGTGACCAGCAAAACAAGCGGGAATGTTTGTTATAAAAACGCGCCTTTTTCGAAGTACGTCAAACGACGCTCCGGGGTTTTACTATTGTATTTTTAACGTCGCTTTTTACTTCTTAAGAAAACTGAGTTTAAAAAAAGACTTCTGTAGCTTTTTTTGTTTCCTGTGAATTTGATTTTTACGCTTGGATTGAGCTGAAGTAAACGTAAACTACTTTTATATAAAAACAAATATGCAGCGGTTGTCACAAAGCATCCGGTGAGCCTCTCTGTCGCCTATCATCTGTCAATGGCGTCATGACATTCTTGTCAGCATCTTCGAACCACCTTTAATTGCGAACAAAAGTCATCTGACCCCGCGGATGACGTCTTTTGCACTAGCGTTACTCTCCGCTCTCATGCCTTCTCCATGCGGTCGGCGTGCCGCAACAAACAGGGGCTGCTGCCAAACTTTAATTGGCGACTACGTCGCACCCACAAATAAACTCGAAAGAAAAATTTAGACAGGTAATTTTTTCAAGGTGTATACATTCAAAATTTGCAGTGTTTACGTATTAAAAAGAAAACCTATTCAGCTTCCCTTTTAACGATAGTGCCGAGGGATGCGAACCCAGACACTTATTTGTAGTCACTCACAGCTTAAGAAACGCAGAGCATGATGAGTTCTCCTTATTATCTCTGCACAGCCAATGAGATTAGAGTATTTGCCGATAAGAACTCTGAAAAACCAATCAGAACCTGGGAACATATTAGGACACGCCCTCCGTTTCTTGCGCTGACAGTGACAGATAGTTTGTGATGTCTAACTATTTGTTACTCTTGTCTGGAATGCAAAGGTAGACATTGGAGGCCTTCGATTTGGTAATGTGAATATAATGTGCAAAGTATCAATGAATTAGACTTTATTTCAGCTTGAAATACAAGTAAGCGTGCCGAGAAAAAGGTAGTGTCGTCCACTGGCTTGACGGGCCTCGTCACCCTCTCAAATCGGCAGCGTAAACGCGGTATAAATAAAATATAAATAAAATGAAATGTATATTGGGGTAAACATACTTTTGCGCGTATATTACACATGTTACACATAGTTGAAGTACAGACAAATTATAGAAAAGCGCTCTGGAAGACAGAAGAAGACATATCACTCAGGAGATCACATAGGGGCGAATTCAAAACTTAGGCAAGATATACCGCAACATAGTAAAGCCATAGTTCGTCCTACATTTAGGTAATACAAAGGTATATTTTTTCCTGGTTGTAAAGGCGTATTGCGTGGCACAATAGAAACAATACGTGAAAGACAATTATCATTTTTTCTATTATATTTTTGTAAAAACACGCAAATCAATATTAAAATAAATTATATACAGGCACCATTTTAAAATGCAAGTAAGCCTGCCCGGCTGGGGAATTCTATGGAGCTTTTGTAATAGCATGTAACATTTTTTTTGTGTGTGTGTGCAAAATAAGAAGCTTTTGGATGTTGGATGCTGTGATATTACCCCAGACCAGGGTGTAAGATAGACAGCTGGGGAAACGAGAGCCAAATGAGCGACCGGATTGTGTCCCTCTCGGTTTTCTCTTTTTTTGTGGCGCCATCTATGTGGAGCACCGCGAACTCTTACTTCGGGTGGGCGACCGGTGGCGACCGGCTAAACTGACGGAGATGGTTCCTCGTGGATTTTCAATGGAGGACTGTCGTGCTCCCGGTTTATTTTGCGCACTCTCCCATAGAGTTCCACGCGAATCCGATTCCAAATTTTTTTCCTCTCGCCGCAGCGCCATCTGTCGCAAATCGGGGGTACCCGCAAGCAGACGAAAGCACAATCCGGTCACGGCGCTGCGGTAGGCTTCTATGGGCCGTT